GAGGTGTTGACGAAGCCAACCAGCCTATAACTTACCATCACTATCTCCGTACTCGCAATGTCCAAATCTACCTTCTCACGATATATATATAATATAAATTATAATAATATATATGTATTTAAATATATAATATATATATATATATATAATATAATATATAATATATGAGATATTAATGGGTATCCTTGATCATAGGAGGTGATTTCCCTGCAATTGTCCGCCTATGGACCACAATCTCCACCTTCTCATTAAAGTAGGCACAATCCCTACCAAACTCACACTCTCTCATCCTACTATGAGGATGGTGGGGATTGTGGCCACATAGCGGTCAACGCGGGGGAGAAGAACTCTAAGTTCTGTTTCTTATTCTACTCAAGTTTATCATCTAACTTGATTGTCGGAGGTACAACGGGGGACCATTTCCCGCCCTCTCACGAGTTTCTACATTTATAGATTTTTTAGCTCCCCAATTCAAGAACCAGACATAAAGTCGAAGAAGAAGGCAATCCCCTCATCGATCTCCTCTACCTCATCGAAATGATCCTATCCTGAATTCAACTAACTGTGTGATCATATAAACCAACAATAGTTTAGCGCCCACCATGGGGCCTCCTCTCTTTTTCGAGAAGATATGTCAGGTTCTGAACAATGGCCTGATCAGTCTCATCCTGTAGCTCAACCCTGAAGTTATGTCACCCAAGCCAAATGGAGCCCGAAGTTGTGTCACTCAACCTAAGCAGAAAATGGTTTTGGCTGAGAGGAATCGACATAATTGCGTCCCTCTACAGCTTTAGCAACCATTTTGGGAGTATCTATCAGTTAGTCATCTATAAGATGGGTGAGCTCACATTACCTTCAAAAGCCTCTCGAAAGATGAGCATCATGTCGTCTTTTTAGAGAGGTCTTCTTTGGTTGTCTTTTTAGAGAAAACAACTTCGGCTCCTTGAATATCTTTCAGAAAGAATTCCATTATCAAAGTTGCCTAGTATCTTATGGTCGTTCCACACAACCCACAAAAACTCCATCGGGGAGACTCCATTCAAGCTAGCATATGACGCCGAGACAGTCACTCCCGTCGAAGTAAGCATGTCGACCATTCGACTACAACACTTCACCATCTATTATAATGAACCAATAATTAAAATTCATCTACTTCCATTTCCTTCCCATAATTAGAACTTCCAAACAATATAATTTAAGTTCATCTCCATTCGCTTTATAAAATTTTCAAATAATATATTATATTTTATCTCCTCTTACCTTTCTTTGTTTCCCTTAGTAAACTCCTAAACATAAGCTAATGTGGAAGCATCGGGAGTCAATCATAGAAATACTATTTGTAATCAAACGACCACATCAACTACGGAACCTACGAGCTATTATTTTAACTTAAGGGCCCGTTTGGTTCGCTTACTTGAGTTGCGAAAACCCCTTTCCTCCTCCTGATAACAGCGCCACCTCGACAAAACCCGTTCTAGGGTTTTCTTTTTCCTATTTTGGTTCGCTTCTTCCTCTCGTCCATCCAGTTGCGGAAATACCCTCCACCTCAACTCTTCGCCTTTCCCCCCATTTCCTTCGAAAACGAGAGAAAATGGTCGAAAATCTGACAATATTGTCAGAACTGCGGTTTATTTGGGGAAAACTCATTTAGGGCTAGAGTTACCGTCACTTTCCCTCGTTTTTTTCACTCTTCGTGCCATGATTCCTCTCCGATGCCTGTAGGAGTTCTATACTGTTGATTTCGTGCTTGATTTTCATATTTAACAAGCCTCTGTTCCTCAAAATCTTTTTTTTTGCTGGAACTTGCTAAAAAGACAACGCCTTTAATGGGAAAATTGAGTATTTTTGCTGAAATTTTTGCTAGATCTTGCTATAGAGGCGATCTAAGGTATGATTTCTGCTCATTTTAGAAATATTGTGATGAAAATTTCGTATGTTTTACAAATATTGTGATAAAATTAGTTGAAATTATCTAAAATTTTATCTGAAAATTATCTGAAATTAGTTGAAATTATCTAAAAATATCATATGTTCTAGAATATTGTTTGACCTTGCTGGATGTTGCGTTTTCTATAATTAATTGAAATTATTTACAATTATCTAAAAATTATTATCTAAAATTTAGAAGGTAATAGATGAAAATTTTCATGCTAACTGATCAAAAATATCTGAAATTATCTAAAATGTTCATTTTAGAAAATATTATGATGAAAATTTGCATGTTCTTATTTTCTTGTATGTCCCAAGTGAAACTTTCGTTTAATTTAAGAACGATTCTATTTAGCTAGGTTTTTTTTGACATTACTGATGCGTGACATTACTGATGCAGTGATAAAGTTGTATGCTTAAGAGGAAAAAACATTCATGAGGTAACAATTTTTGTGTTCACATGTTTGTTGCCACCATTTGATTTTAAGTGTATGATCATAAGTTTATATGCCTGAACTTATCCCTGAACTTTTGCCTCTTAAATTTTTCTTCTTTACTGTCCAATGCTTCCTGAGATCTTAATTGATAGAAGTTTTGATTATTGACATTACATATGGATGTTTGCTAGGTATATTAATTATTTTAATTTGATGTTTGCATCGTAGATGGATGATGGTGGGGATTGTATCGGTGAACAAAGTGTTGTTATTATGGTATTGCCCATGGTTTAGAAGCGATCATGATTTTGAAACCTAACTGGTTTTGTTTCTGATAGTTGACTCAACTATTCAGTCTCCATTACCTACATGTTTGGTATTCCCAGATTTGATGCGATTTGCCATGTCATAAACATATTTATGACTAATCAGGCTGTTTATATATTTGTTATAGGTTTCATAATAATTTTTCGCTAATTCATGTAAATATTTCATAAAATTATGAATAATTAGATTATTACAGGTCTCATTTGTTTTTTTCTTGAAAAACAGGTTTCATGTGATTTTTTTCATGTCAAAAATGTATATTTCATGTCAAATGAGCTAAAATTATAAATAATCAGGTCATTACAAGTCTCATTTATTTTTTCTTGAAAAACAAGTTTCATATGATTTTTTTCATGTCAAGCAGTAAATTTCATGTCAAATTAGGTACACAGTTTATAGTAATTGAATCATGTTATTCTAGGTTTTGTATAATTTTTTATGCAAACAAATATTTATAATGAATTCGGTTATTTACTATTTGTTCATGTTACATTTGCACTTCTATTTTGTTAAGATTATCTCCCATAACGATCACAAATAAATTTGTCTTTAGTGGGGGTAATCTTACCATGATGACCATACCTACACACTTCAATATCAACCAAACACAAGAAAAATAGAAAATATCAAATTAACAAAAAAAATTCCTTCTTTTAATACAAACCAAACATAAGAAAAGTCCATACATTGGTTCCCACCATATTTTATGTGCGAACCAAATCCAAACAATCAATTTCTTGAAAAATTTTAAAAAACCCAAAACTTAAATTTCATTACATGGAATTATATTTCCCAATATATAGGAAACGATCCAAACAGCCCCTAATCATCAAAAGTTTGAAACCAGTCTCTCAATAGTCATCTCACTTCAATAAAATCCAAAAAAAAAAAAAATTTAAAATGAACACATGAACCGCATGCTCCCAGTTCAAACTTCCAACAGCATCATATATATGTAACATAACCCAAAATCTTAAAATACTGCACAAATAAACACCCCATAATCCAGACAAAACAAATGGACCCAAAAAGAAACGTAATAGAACCAGCAGCAGGGCCCACAAGTACACTTCTCTAACCAGTTCGAACACAGAAATAGACACGCCATGCCCTTGACGCATCTAGAACCCATCAACACCTCCCGAAAACAGATTTTACATCTACAACATCTGATTACAAATTGAAAGAAATTTCAAAGTTTTAACAGAAAGCCCGAGCTACGCCCCAGCCCAAGCCCACGATTAAGCTCCCGGGGCAGCATCCTTGATCCGGCCCGGAAAGTAAATCCCGCGCTCTCTCGCATAATCTTTCACTTCTCTCGCCGTGTCAGCTATGCGACTCCTCGCATAGTCCACTCTCCCCGATCCCACCGGGTGCCTCCCCATAAAATACCTGCTCAATTGTTATCCACATTCAGTAATCACAGGAGGGAAAAAAAAAAAAAAATCGAACTGCACACGTGCAAGCTTACTTGCGTGCCGATGCTTCTGATAGAATAAGAACAGTTTTAACAGAGTTTCGACAGTATTTTTCCTTACAAAAACCGGGTTCTAACCTGTACATCCACGTGGCCCGCCAGCTAGCACCGCCACGCGCGAACCCGCAAGCCGACAAAAACCAGTGACCCCAATGCGAACAGCAAAGCCGCAGCGGACCCAGACGGGGTAGAGAAGAGGAGGAGTGGGCGCGAAGCAAACTTACGAGACCAGTGACGGCGCCGCGTGCGGGAGCCGGGTAAGGCACGAGGAGGATCGCGCGAGACGAGGAGTGAGAACCCGAGCACCGGGTTGAGTGGCGGCGCGTGCCGCGGAGGCCGACGGAGGAGGAGGGCGACCGCCGCCGCCGCCGCCGACGAGTAAGGCCGGCGGCTGCCGGGTCGGCGTCTCCGAGCGCTTAATGGCCTCGCGCACACTCTTGCGACGAATCTCCATGAAGCATCCTCTCCCGGGTCCACGGTCACATTATTTTGAAGTAGCATCAGGTGGAATTGAAGGGAGCAGGGGAATTGGAATTCGGGGGAGATTAAAGAGAGGGTGGTGGCGTTGACACGTGGGGCAGGGTGCGGGTTTGGATGGGCCATGCAAGGTACGGCGTCGTGAGCGTGTGCAGCGGGGAGGCGGAGGCGTGGGTGGGGATTCTCATCCTTTCCGTTGGTGTGCGGGTTTTTGTCCTTTGGACGCAGGAGGTTTTTTATTTTATTTTATTTTTATCGTTGCTGGTTTTCGTGAATAGATTTTTGTTTAAGTGCCTGTTTGGCTCGAGAACAACAAAAAATGAAAAAATGAAAACACCTGAAATTCTTTTTTTTCTTTAGATATTCTTCAAAAAGATATTTTTAGTTTGTTTCAATTAGAAAATACGGGTGTACCGGGTGTAGAAAGTACTAATGTCCATTGAAAAAAAAAATGACTACAACTAATACAAAGCTATTATTTAGGAAAAAAAGAAAACTTAATTTCATTGATATCCACTGTATGTGTCACCCAATCGTTAATTGTCTGCAAGTAGCTTTAGGGACTGTTAAGTTCTGTTATGGTATTCCTATTCCTCAAAATATAACTCCTCGCTACATAATGGACGGGTGTATTTCCGCAAGTAAGACCCCAACTAGCTTGGTGGCTCAAGCCCAACGAAGGTTCCAACTGTTGGCCTCTTTGTTTAGATGATGTTTAACAAACAATTTACTACTAATGTTGTTTGTCTAGTGTTTGTACATTCTTATGTATTGTAGACAAACAACGTTGTTGGAGGATGGATGGATTGCGCCATAACGACGATATCAAATGGAGGTTGGCGGAATTGTGGAGTGAAGCAACATACAATTCAAGTTAAAGATCAAGTTCAAGCTTCATCCGCAAAGTGTACCAAGTCAAGCTTATTGAAGATCAAGATCGGCTTGGGTAATCTAGTTTAGGTTTTATATTATGTGTGTTTAATACGTTAAGCTCAATATTCTATACACACACATTTTATTGGTTTCTTCGTGTGTATATATATATATATATATAAAGAATCAATTTGTAAGCTATATGTGGTATTTTCTCCCCCTTTGACAACATCAAAAAGGAAAAAATGAAAGATAGGAGCAATGCTCCCCCTGCTTATAAGCATAGATAAAAAATAAAGAATTGTATGTCAAAGGCTCCCCCTGTCAAATAGACTAAGTGACATTTATTGAACATACATACAGGAGCTAAACCAACAACTTTTCATCAAACATATGCATAAATAATACAAGTAATTCAAATTCTATAAACAAAAACATGATTATAGTCTTAACCATGCATTGATCATAACATGATAAACAAAACATCATTTTAGCATCATAGATTTGCATAAATATACAAAACCTAAACAGTGCAAAGAACTCATGACAGGCAACTAATATTTACTACACATCAAATTATGAATGTTGTTTCAACAATGCATTGATTTATAAAAGAAATAAATTAAACACAATAGGCCACAAAATATCACATAAGCATTAGAAGCAATATAGTTTTGCACTAACCATGGATTCGTCCACAAGATAAAAAATCACACAAAACCATACATAGTTTGTTCCACAAAGTATCATAGAGTTATTACACTCAAATAAAACAGAGTTATCAAATCAGTCATCTCCAAAAGAGAACATCAAAAACAAAGATAACCATCACATAAAGAAACTCAACTCAGTCATCACCAGCACCATCACCACCATCATCACCACCATCATCACCACCATCACCATCACCATCATCACCACCTCCAGAATCAGAAGAGCCTGATCCATCAGCAGAATCCTCACCAGAATCAGACTCAGAATTGGAAGGGATCCCGAGAGACGTACGCTGAAATGAAAGAATAGTCCTAACATCCTAACATCACCATCACCATCATCACCACCTACGTCTCTGCTCGTTCTCTTTTGTTTTGACCTACGATGGTCCAGAATGTTTTCCTCGTGTTTTTGCTCTCATCGGTCGACCGACGGAATTTTCGGTCGACCGACAATAGATCCGTTGGGCACAACGGCTACTTTTCTGAGGAGCTTTCTGGGGGCTTTGTTGTCCTTTGGCTTGGGGTTTTTGGCTGAGTTGTGAGAGGGTATAAATACCCCATTGTCTTCAACTCTCAAGCTAGCTATGAGAATGTTTTAAAATAGTTTAACAAGGGTTTAAACTTGTTTAGTGTTTGTTTAAGTTTGGTTTAAGAAGCTTTTAAGCAATTGAGGGTTTGAGTTTGTGAATTCAATTTCACAAGAGCAAGTGGAGATCATCCTTTGGTGTTTGAGCATTCACTCTTCTCCTACTCTCTTGTCATCTTTAGAGAAGTGTTTCTAAACTCATCTAGCAATTTATTATTTTGATTATAATTTCCATAAGCTAGATTTCATATTGAGTTTAGTTTAATTGTTTTATTGATACTCTTTGTTCACACACAACCTATTGAGCTTATTGTATTTACATTCATAGTATAATTTAGGGTTGTGGGTTTGTGACATTGAGAGTGAGTTTAATTGAGTTCTCACCTTGTTTTTGAGAACAATCATTTGTCATATTTGTGCTTATTGTGAGAATCACTTTGTAATACACTTGTACATCGAGTGAGGAGTGTGTGGTGAGAGTCGGGGATCGTTCCAAGAGGAGTGGCGTCGGTTGACGTGCCTAGAGAGAGGTTGTAACCGAGCACTTGAGGGAGACACGGCTAGGTCCAACACTTAGTGGGTGTAGAGTGTGATTGCAAGAGTGTGAGTTGTAGAGTTTTCGGTTGGCTAGAAAACCGAGTGTGTAGAAGAAGTTCCGGCTTCCAAACCGGATTGTGTTAGTGGATTTCTCCCCGGGAGTGGGGAGCGGAGACGTAGGACGGAAGGTCCGAACTCCGTGATCATATTGCTTGTTTGAGTTTGTCTTTGGCGTAGTTGTTTTTGCATTTATCTTATATCGCCAATTGTGCATTACTCATCCTTTTTATGATCCACTATCTAGTTTATATTGTTTACCCTTGTGTTAGTTTATATATCCTTGCATATATATTTTGCTATATATCTCTTTGCTAGGATATATCATATTGTATATTGCTTATCCTAGCTCATATATATTATTGCATTTCATACTTGCTAGGATAACTTGTTAATTAATTTTAATTAGCATTAAATCAGATTAGATTAGCATAAGACCCTAATCACCCCCCCTCTAGGGTCTAACACCAACTTGGCCAACTCGTCAAGTCAATACTCGTCATGACGACTCAAGAGTCGGGATCAGTCGACCCTCTTGTCGAAGTCGACTCGCCTGGAGCCCACTCGACTTTTTATTCAATGCCTTATGAGGACGACTCAATGAGCGTTACTTCTAGGCTAAACTGGAGGATAATATTTGCCTCAGGTTTCTCCCTCTGGCCACGTGTCAGCACCACGATCAACACTGAACAGGTCCCATCATTATGACCATAGCCCCGATAGTCTTCATGACTCGTCATATCACATGGGCTCTACCACGCCACCGATCACGCTCCATTCGATGCTGAGACGATCTCTCCAATGCTGAAGTGATCTTTCACCAAACCACTTATCGACACCCGTAAAGTGGGTGCTGATGCAACTGTTAGACCCTAGATAGAGGGGGGTGATTAGGATCTTATGTTAATCTAATTCCGATTAAATTCCAATTAAAATTATATTGATTAATTTATTCTTGCAAGAATAATATGAGATAGATATGAACATGAATGATATGAATAGGCACAAATAAAATATATGCTAAGCAAAACACAAACACACGATATGTTTACGAGGTTCGGTCACAACGACCTACGTCTTCGCTCCTCACCTCGAGGAGATCTCCACTATCACAATCTGGTTTGGAAGCCGGAATTTCTACACACTCGGTTTATAAGTTTATCAAAAACTCTCACACAACAAATACTATGCATTCACACTATACACACTAAGTGTAGGAACCTAGCCCGTGTCCTCCTCAAGTGCTCAGATGCAACCTCTCCCTAGGTTCGTTAACCAACGCCACTCCTATTGGATTCGACCCCGTCTCACACCTCACACTTCTCTCGGTGTACAAGTATATTACAAGTGATACTCACAATAAAGGTTAAATACAATGTCAATTAACAGGTTTTGGATTCGACCACAATTCAATTAAAGACATAGTAAGAAAATTAACTACTGGCGGTCGACCGTGGCGGTCGACCGTGGCGGTCGACCGCAAACTGATACATGTCAATTAACAGGTTTTGGGTTAATTTCGAAAATACATTAAAAATATCAAATCAATTCTAAAAATAGTAAAACTTTGGGGAAAGTTTCTAAATGATAAAATAAACATGTTTGAAAAGGAATTTTTGGAAATGTAAGTTTTGTTTGTGAAAACTCTGTTTTTGAAAAGTGTTCATAAAACATGTTTTCCGCGAACATGAAAATTAAAATATGACTTGTAAACTCGTGTATATATACCATGCATATATTATATATATATAATGAAGTATGAACGAGTTGTAAACATGAAATAAAAGCTATTGTAACAAAGTTTGATAAAAAATCATTTATATGATAGATAACGTCAAATTTGTGTCGTGTTTACATATTAAGCTTAAATATAATCATACGATATATGTAAGCAAACTAAACTTATACC